CCACCCAGCATCAAATTATTACATGCTTTGATAGTGAGTTGTATCCATTCATTTATTCCTTTATCGCTGCTTGGTAGCAGTGCTCTGGCACCCTGCTGCAGACAAAAATCATTTGTATGCCTAGTGCAATAAATGGGCAGAGCAGGATGCAGAAAAGTTCTCGGACCAAGGTTCTAAGGGGATTTAACTCTTCTGTTAAACCAGAGCATGTCCCAGCCTGTGGGCAATGGGGAACTGCTGCAGGGCTATATGGTGAGTTAAGGACAACACCAAATGAGCTCCTTTAATCAAATATTCATACAACTTTCTGTATTTAAACTTGTACTTCTGCAAGCGTTCAAAGCCTAGTCTTGCCGTCAAAACTATTAGCTCCATAGGTTTGCGAGGGAGATTCAAGGAAAAGTCACATCAAAAGCAGAAAACACAGAAAAGAAGCAAAATCACCAAAACTGCCTGGACTCAGCCACTATCTCTAACCAGAGGCAAAGGAAGATGCTAGGGCAGTGGGCTGCAATGAACAGGGGAATGAGCATGTGCCTGCTGTCTGCTTTGCTTATGTTGGTGCTCTGTTAAATCAGGGTTGCTGCTATGAGCCAGAGCACATGCAATCAAGGAGAGCAGCTACTGCTGAGAGAAGAGGTCCAGGACCTGCAAACCCAACACGTTACTGCTCTACCTGAACCATCCACTCTGAACCATTGCCACAGCGGGAGCAGCCTAGTCTCCCTTGCCTGTGGCAGCAAAATTCACTTCTGCCTTCATTGCTGAGAAGATTTGACCTGGCTAGGTGAATTCTTTTCGGTTTCTCCCATTTTTAATAAGGCAAGTGCATGCAGCATGGTAATAGCAAGTAGTTATGTTGCAGCACTGCTACGTGAGTGCAGCTCCAGGGTCTGTGAAGTCTGAAGCTTCAGAAGAAAACAAGGTTTACCTTTCTTTCTTCTGTAAAATAGCTGGGCCATTCTGTAGTAAGCCATATTAGCATTTTGTCAGGGTACAGGTGGGAATGCAGAGAAAGTTTTGCTTTTAATTTAATCATCTTATCTCAAGCCTGAAGACACTTTTTTTCTTTAAAAAAAAGGTAGTTTTCCTGTTCAGTGTTTTTGAGAATAAAATTGTGTAGTCTCAGCTGAGCCTTCCAAGAACTCCTCTCAGTCCCAGCAGCCTTTCTGGTTTCAGTATCCATAGGGGAGTACCAAGAACTCATTCTGTTATGGGAAAAATAACAGAATCTGTTATTTTCATGTACAAATACTTGTCAGACATGGAAATATGTCTTTTTATAGATTATTTACAATTGTAATAACCATGTTACTCTGAAAATTTTAATAAAGGGTTTTTTTTTAAGTTCTTTTTCAATGTTTAAAACCATAAAGCTTTTTCTGTAAGTCAACATGTGTGTTCTTTTGCATTGCCTGCTCAGTTGCTGGTGTATCCCAGTGAGTGTTGTACTTTGCATATGAGGTCTTTTAAGCTCTTTAACCATCATACCTGCTTACATGTAAAGATTAAGGTTGATAAATAAAGCAAAAAATATGTGGAATTCAGGGGATCATGATGAATATTACACCACATGGCTGTGTGATTTACTTCACATAGTGAAAGGAAGCTAAGTTATTTGAGAATTTCAAGACTTATATATTATTACTTCTTATATTAAAGAAAGATCTACCACAGAGGAAAGTGAGGAAAATTTCAGCTGACTTAACTAAATAGACCAAAAAAACCCTTTTTTAAAAGAAGATTTTCAATGACTTTCTATTTCTATTAGACTACTGAATACACATATTTCTTCTGCAGATAGAATTTGAGATATTTTCAGATATTCTGAAAATCAAAGAGCTACTTTTTTGGAATAAATAAATCAAAGACTTATGGTTTATATGCTTTGTTTTAGGATGCTAGAATTCTAGAGAAAATGGAGAAAATGCAGTGACACCAACAATAGAAGGAGAACTATACTGGGTGGGAAGGGAACTTGTAGCCTTGTTCTCCTTTTGGAAACTGCGTGCAATTTACAGTGGAGTAGAGATTCATACAGGAAACAAGCTCTCTCACACACTATTTTATTTTCTTCATGGCACTTCTGAATTTGTCTCTGACACTGAAAGGCATGTTATACTGTTGTGGGTTTTTCAGGCAGGTTCTTTTTTGGCAGAGGGAAGGTTAGTTTTGATTACCCCATGCGTATAAATCATGGCTGTACCACAAAATTGCTGGCATCTTCCTAGCCTGACATTGAGCTTTGACATTAAGATTTATATTCTCTGTTGAACAGTTTGCATTACATAGATACACACATACAAAAAAAATACATACACACACACACTTTTATACACACACACAAACACACACACACAGCATAAACAAGTCCAACATTTACGATACACAGACGGAGAGTACTCCTGTTCCCCATGCCTTTTTCAGTCGTTTAATGAACTCTGCATCATTCTGTTAAAACACAAACATTTACCCGCATTTGTATTCTGGAGAGCTAACAATGAAGAACAACTGTAATTGATTGAACTAGGGGGGAAAAAAAGTTTGCTGTGAGCCATAAATTCTCCAAAATGATGCAATTTAAAGAGATCGAAAAAATTTTTGAATATACCCAAATAATTTTGCCAAAACAAATCTTGACAAAACATTTCTGATCACAGAGTTTTAACAGTGTTGATATGGCAGTAAAGGAAGAGAGTAACAAAAAGATGGCAGTAATTCTTTTTTCCTAATAATTCAGTGATTAGAAAGCGCTTTCTAGACATAACGTCTTGCTCTTCAGGGGCTCCCATCTTGCAGTTTCCAGGAAAACGCTCTAACCTCACGTGCAGCAGAGAGAGATTTTGGTCTCTGGCCCTCCTGCAGTTGCACTTTGCAAGCAGTTCTTAAACAGGCTTGGAGCCACACAACAGCAGCAAGAACGGCTCTCTAAGCAAGTTGTTAGGGCATTCTTGCCAACCTTTGTAGCAGACCTTTGTTCAAAGCACCTTTTCCCCCATTTAAGAAGAAGGACTGAGATGGGCTTTGGTTGGAAACTGTGAGGGCAAAGTAGGAAGAAATCAGCACTTTGTGTTGCTAGGTATGCAGGCACCCGCACTTTGAACTGGCGGACACAGGCAGAGCTGACCTCTACTGGAGTAAAAGCAAACAAAAGCAAATCAGGAGATACAGCATTCAACGTTTTTGGACTTAAACCCAAACGAGGACAGAAACATCCATTTGGCAACAAATTTTTTTTCCAAATGCATATTTGCAGAAAATCCCATTAAATTAATCTTTCTCAAAACCTACTTGTTTGTTCATGCAACACATGAAAAACAAGGCAAAAGCAATGTACTAGAAGTATGGTGTCTCTGTTGCATACATGTAAATCACTTGCAAGAAACAGGTATATCTGGTGTATTTAGACATATCCTGAGAGAACAACTGAGAAAGGAGAGAGTGAGTTCTGATTCTCTTCGGCAAATGCTTTCCACTACACACTCAGGCTGAGATGCTCCTCTTCCACAAAGTACTTATGCAGTCGCTAGTACTGCAGCATCTCCTGTTTCTTACTCACAGTCTGTGAGGGGCAGAAGTGGCTGTTGAGTTCCCTTTTTTGATTCAGAGAAGAGAGCAGACACCTGCCTATGGACAAATGCGGGGATGGTGTAGTAGATCAGGGAGTTTGCCTCTCATCTTCCCAAGTAATATAGTGATGATGCTGACTGACTTTCAGACCACTGAAACATGAATATTAGCTTGTAATAGACAAAATTAACTTCATCTAGCGGTTTAGAAATTGTTTACTTCTTCCTCGGTCAGAAAATTCACGAGAATAGGCTTTATATAGAAATATTAGGAAAAACAGATTTTGCCATAATTTATCAACAGTCCCATGATCTTGATATGGAAACAGGATTAAAATGCAGAAGGATGAGAAAGCAAATGGTATATTACTGACCTGGATGCATCCGTCTGCTGAAATCCCACTTCTAACACGTGTCAGAGAGAGATGTAATCCAGGAAGAGAATGAGGGAAAAGTACATAGATCTTTACTTTTTATTAGAAGTGTGAGGTGCCTTGGTGGAGGTAGCATGAGAATCTAGGTAGGTTCCATACTGTTGCACTGAATTTTTGAAGTTAAAGGGAGGCTGATGGAGAGAGATGTTGAAAATACACATAGGATGAACATATATTTTCACATGAAGGAGCACTGTAAACCCTCAGGAGTTGATGTAATTCATCAGAACCTACTTCTCCTATAAATTCAATTCTGACTTTTCTCTGCTAATTCTTTTTATAAAATCAATTGTTCAAAATTTGACATCTATTCTAGGTGTGGCCAACTCTTGTGTACCATTAACTGTTCCTGAGAGAACTACTTTTGCAACGTCATCATTTTGTGATGTGTTTTCTGCTTACTGTACACCTATGACCGCTGCTATACTTACTCTACACCTGTGGTCTCTGACTGACTTCACTTTCTCATTTTTACTGAGACTATATTGTGCATAATTTTTCAGCAGTAACCTAGCATAGAACTTTTTGTCTGTTGAGCCCAAACACATTTACCTTCTAGAAACTCATTCATTCAATCCAGAAAAGCATGTATCATTTTCAGAAATGATAAAATTACATGGTTAGCCTGAAAATTAAGCCATTCAGTTAAAGAGGTTTACTCTTGTACAGCTGAAGGTATGAGTCACTCATCTCTGACCTCTGAGCATTGCAAGGATATTAGGAGTATAAAAATAAAGATTTTAATAAATCAATGAAGTAATTAAAGAAGACAAGAAATAAAGACTTATTCATCCTGACTGAAACAGAAAGCCTCTTTTGGTGGTAATGGGAAAAGACCATGCCCCTCACGGTTCCTGTCACAACACCTGTCAAACAAATGCTAGCACCGGATATTTTGCCTTTTTAAGCATTGTAGGAATCAGTGAGAGTAAGGAGCAAGAAGCATTGGACTTGTTTTCAGCAAGTAAGAATTTGGTGCCCTGTTTCTTTTCATCAGACTCGCTTCTTCCTGCCTACAACCGTTGCCAACTCTGGAACAGCCGAGCTGGAATAAGAAAATACCCCGGAGGACCGGAGGGACCCTGCAGATAGATCTGTTCTTCTTTTGAGATCGCAGCTACCTCTCAGCCAGGGAAGAAAAGGTAATTTTGATTGAGGGTGGAGAAGGGGAAAGAAGGGGAGGCATATAACCTTTCTTTGTCTCTTTGCCTCCTTCTAAAACTTACCCTGAAAGTAAAATTCAGTCTTTCTTCAGCCCCTATAGCAGAGGGAACTACAGGCATCTGTCCTCACCTCTCTCATTTCATGCCTTTGTGAGTGAGCAGTGTCACACCTAGCTTTCAGGCAAGTGCCTCATCTCCAGCATCTAGAGGAGAGCCACTCATACATTGCAATGATCTGGCTGAGATTCAATCCAATTTAGATCAAAGGGATGATAACGTTCTCAAGGAAAGAGCTAAAGTGGTAATTCAGAAGATGTTTCTGACTTTTGAAAGGTTAGCCAGCTACCTATTCTTTACTTTTTGTTTGTCTGCAGTTCAGATTTCCAGTTAGATCTAAGTACTCAGTGACCACATCTGGGTTTTTTTTGTATACACGCATTTATCTTTTTTTTTTTTTTAAATCTTGTTTTTTTTATATATGTGATTGAAGGAGCCAATGGGAGGTAGAGAAAAGGTCCCCATGAGAACTAGAGAAATACATGAACAAAAAATATTATAAATATTATAAAAGTATTAGGCTTTTCAAATTCCTCGGTATGAAACAAGGAGGCTGTACCACAGACTCTGGCACTGGGCCATATGTGGACATTCGCTGTAACAGCTAACCCTTATTTGAACTGGCCAGCCTACCTCTCCAGCACACACACAAGCCACCACCACCCTTTTATGACCTGTGCTGACTGCAGCATTGCTTGCGAAGGGAGTTTTGAAAGCAGGCAGTTTGACTTACAGAGCAGTGTACAGCCACGCTGTCTGAGGAACTGCCTCTCCCCTTGCACCACGCTGAGGAAACCAGCCTCATGGGAGCACAAAAGCTGCTGCTACCTCCTGCGAGAGGAGAGCACAAACTGCATGCAGGCTGTGAGGGACCTGCCGATTCTGGAGTTTTCTCCCCAGCCTTATTACTCTAGAAGTTGGGCAACTTCCTTGTTAACGTCTGCAAGCAGGCTTCAGAGTATTTTGGGTAGTTCTTCCCTGGCAAAACTGAAGGAACTGGGCTGTATTCTGTGATAATGCCTGGTGGTTGCTTGTCTGGAGCTGGGAAATAGTAAAGTCATTTTTGAGCTGGTGGAAGTTTTAATAGATTGCAAAGGTTCATCCTTGAGTCTCCTTGTGTCTCACTTTCCTCACCCACAGGGCAAGATGAGTAGCATTCTCCTGTTTAACAGAGTGCTAGAAAGATAAATACGTTAAAAAGTGAGAGGTACTTGAACTCTGCAATAATGAGGGCCACGCATACATTGCTCATCTTGACAGATCTTGTGATGAGCTTCCCTGTGGCTTCTAGTTCAAGGTTGTTCAGTCTGTGATTGTGGCATGACAACATGCAAAAGAATTGCAAATCAGCCTTAAACAGGGCATGCAGTTTTGGAGGCCTCCATGCCACAGATGTGTCTGATTTCTTGTATAGCCAGGAATAAGTTTAAAGAATGAGAACTAGCGAATGGTGGTTCAGTCTTACTGCTCTTCCTTCCCAGCAGTGTGATACAAGAAGTTCACAGCTGGTTCTGCAGATCTTTGTGAGACTTCTATCTTTTCTGCATGCAGCAGTATTGACTCACTGGTGATTTTCAATATCATCAATTTCATTTCATCCCTGAAACATTGACACACAGATTAGAATTATAAAATTAAAACTGCATACATCATAGAGCTTAGTACAGTGACTCACAAGTTCTTTGAGCAGGGAAACTTTTGAAGCTTGCTTTCCTGTACTTCTTGTTCCTACAAAAGTTTTTGTTCCTTTTTTCCCCCTCATATGGATTCTGTAATGTCTAACAATACAGTTGAACACATGCTGTGGCCTTCCCATTAACAGAGGCTTGCCTTATGTCTATTTGGCAGCATGCTTTCACAAAAGGTACAGGAACTCTTGATCTGTCTGGCAAATGTAGTTAAAACTGGGCAATAAGTTCAAAAGAAACTAATGCGGACTGATAGACAACATGATCCTGTAAGCACCGTTTGCCTAGGAAACTATATTAAAAGACTAGTGGCTTGTTGTGTGGTGGGCTAATTCAACACTCCCCTTACACCATTTCAAAGAAAAACAGTGAGAAAATATTTTCTGAACAAAGTTAATTATCAAAGTTTCAATAAGAGGGGAAGCTGACTCCACAAATTTTATTGCATTAGTAGGGTCTCGAAGAATGACAACCTAATGTCCTTACATAACTAGAAAAGAGTTTAAAAGTGCCCTTTCTGTTTATTACTAAGGACTTTCTTTGTCAGGGAGTCCCACTGCACAGTGCCTCCTTTGAAATAATTTCAGAATCATTTTCTCTTTAAAATTGTTTTGACCAACATCACAGCAACATCATAGAAACCCTCCATAGCCTGTTTTCCTATTGGAATTTTTATTCTTATTCTTTGTGGTTATCAGTTGTGTTTCCATGACAATTCCCACACTCACACATCCCAGAATTAGCTCCTAACACGTCCCAGCCTGATGGTACATCAAGCCCACTCATAGGTCTGGAAACTACATGTACGCAGTAGGCTCTAAACGTGTGAGGAAAAGAAAGTCTCTAATTTGAGTATTAAGACTTGTATGTGTGTATGGGTGACTGAAATATGGGAGAAGGCAGGGACAGAAGGGAGTGGAGGAAGTAGAAGATGGTTAAGTTTATTCTCTTTTTTCTCCCCCTAAATTAAAATGCCTCATGTCCATATGATAAAATTCATATAGTTAGTATATGCTTTGGGTGAAATGGAACATTTGCTTGAAATTGGGTTATCAATTTAACTTCAAAGTCAGTTGATATGGAAAACAACTGAATGTATTTGTATTTTGAATCAACTTTCCTGCAGCATTCCCACCCTTCATTGCTTTCTCAGCTTACCCGGAACTTCCTACTGCTGTGAGGTAACACTGGCCGGTTGTCATTTCCATTTTAAATACCGTTGCGTAGCCAGATGTATTCCAACTGCAGAACAACATAGTTTTCTCAAGGTTGCAGCATCAAACCCTGAGCAAATCCAAGTACTAATCTGCTTTAAAAAAATAAATAAATAAAAGTGCTCAGTACTAGCTGCCAGCATACCACCAGGCCTGATGGTATACATCCAGCAGGGCCACTGGCTGAGAGGGATACATCTGGATACTCCACTACTGAAAGCTAAGTCAAGGAACGTGGACAGAAAAGCTCCAAGCAGGTGCTGGTTTGGCTCCAAACTGCACTGGCAGTTTGCTAGGAGGGCTGCCACCACGCTCCCATGTTTTGTGGCCCCCTGCAATGGTTCTCAGCCAAGCCACGAGGAATTCGAGCCAGGACTCCAGCCGTAGCTTCAAGGACAGCCAAAGTTGCCAGTAGAACATGTTCAACTCTAACATAGCTAACCAAAGAGCTGCTAGCTCACTTTTTTCCCCCAGCAGTTGAAGTTTACAGATGAAAGCAGTTCTGAGGCTTCCTGGCCACTTTTGCTCCTACCTTCTTCTCAAGCAGGTGTCCAGACTTGAAAAGTACAGCTCTTCAACATGTGTCAGTCTGAAAACAGCCTATTATTTCATCATCTGTACAGCAGCATTTTCTTCTCTCTCTTAATGCTTTTTACTCCTTTTCAAAGTTTGCCCTCCGGCATGCTCCAAATGACATAACAGTATTAACCATTGAACAACGTACCTTGGGGCACCTCCATTTGCAGAATATCAAAAAAATCTCTTCCTCACAGGTTTCCTCACCTTCTCTCACTCAGTATGACGACACCATTAGAGTTAAAAAACAAACTCAATATAATACAGACATGGTTACCAAGATAGCACATACAGGATAAAATGCAATTGAGATAGTACTTTGCTTCACAGTTTGAACAGTGCTCTGAGCTTTCAGCTACCTATACCTTTTATGAGGTAGATTACCCAGGCAAGTTATTTAAAGATGAATAGAGGTTTTAAGATATTCCGTTTGCTTTAATCATAGTCTCAGCACTATTAATGCTTCATGTTTAGAACAGTTATTGCAGAAGTCTATTTATTTTTGCTATGCAGTTTGTGCAAACCTTCAGATGATAAAAAGCCAAATTTCAAGTAAAGACAATACAAACATTCAAAGGCAAGAGGGTCTTTCTAGGGGGAGGTCACCTAAAAAAAGTAATATTGCCTCATATTCTTGAAGGATCTCTGCAAGAATTTTTCTAATAAATAACATTGTTGCCTACTGTGCGAACTGCCATTGCCGTTTTAACATGACCCTTTTGTTCCTTGGTGACAAACCTCATGGTAGCACCAACCCCTCTGTGTAACGATAGCCAGTGGATTTGCATGAGTCAGCAGTCTTTTCTCTGCTTCTCACCACTCTCCCCAACAGCCCTCCATCACTTCAAAATTGTACCGGGACCCTGCACGTCCCTGCACAGAAAGAAGGGGCGGTGGATGGCACTGTCCTGCTTGTCTCCAGGCTGAGCCCTGGGCTCAGCTCAGCTCAGGGTGAGATCATAGAAGTGGAATTCCAAGAGTGAGGGGAAAACATTGCCTTATTGTTGCCATGGAGATGGAAATCAGCACAATAACTAATTTGTTCTGTTTCAAAGCTCCCCGGTCTCCTACTTTTGCTTCCCTCCCCCGCTCCATCACCACTTCCATCCTTTCTCAGCAGCAGCCTAGAATACCTGACAAATTTCTGAGTCAAGAATTGGAAAGGGAGCAGCAGAACTTTTAAGGATCTGAAGTCTGGTCAGGGACCACAAAGCAGGAAGGTCTTGTAGGAAGAGGAGAGGATAAAGAAGGTTGAAGGTTGTAAGAGGTAGAGAGCTGCAGAAACAGCTCCTGGCTATGACATACAAACAGGCAAATTCTGGAAAATACTTTGGTAGCGTATAGCTACCCTCTGCCATTCCTTGGTGAACTTCTGCCCCACATGGAGAGGGAGGCACAGTGCTGCACACCACTCAGCTGTGACTACCGTGACTGCCATCCTCCC